TTTCTTTGTACTGGGTTGGGTGGGGAGCGAACACCCTGTGTGACTTATTCAGGTCAGTGACGTCATTTCTCTGTAAGAACTGGTGACACCGTTGCGGTCTCGAGGACACGAGCGTTGGGATCTCCCTCGGATGGCCGGCCAGGTTTACGTGCTGGACGCTCGGCAGGGAGTTCCCTCTGGGCTCGAGAGGACACCCAAGATACTTCATGTGGTCATCGTTGCCGTGGCCAGCCGGCAGGGTGCCCAGCCGAGCCAGAGATATAAATATTAAGAGCCTGGCCTGCTGCCCACCTCTGGTCAATGGACCAGAACCTCCATCCGCCAGCCTCCCTTTCAGCATCTCAGAAGCATCTTGAGCGCACCTTGCGGCTGGCCTTGGAGACTGTGGTCTGGAGGAGCCACGGATCTGGGCTTGACCGCCCGAGGCCCAGAGGGGCTCTGCCAACTTCTTTTTATAGGGGCAGCAGAGAGCGTGGTGTTCAAGAAGACCAAGAGTTTCCAAACCAGGTTCACGGAGATGAGGGGTTCCCGACACACAGTTTCTCTTTGTGTGTGTACACAAACACACACGTACACATGAAGGGGGCTTTGTCAAGGGCCAATAAAGGCACATGCACGCACTCGTGGAGGCCTGCCCCTATTTGTAGAAAACAATTTTAATATAACTTTTGAATTATTAAAGTTTTTTCCTCCTTATTTTTTTATGCAGTGGCTGAAATCCAACAGTAATGTAATACAATGAGTAGGCCCATTGAAATCAGTGGAACTTACGGAGGAGTTGACCTACCAAATCCCTATGGATACAATGGGCCTAACTCTGCTTGGACCTTAATACTGGATGTCACCCATTATGTTATGTGTCATCCTTCTTCGAGACGTTGCTATTATTCACTGTTTCAATTTATGTACCACCCTCTCGTGTTAGCGCACTTTCTGGGCAGCTTACAACATAATTAGGCAAGGAACACTTTGCAGACCTAATGTACTCAGTTTAACAACCTCGGAAAGGTGGAGGACTGACTCAAGCTCGAGCCAGTTACCTGAGCCTGTCGGGATAAAAACTCAGGTCTTGAGCAGAGTCTCGACTGCAGTACTGCAGTTTAACCACTGTGACACAATGATATCAAGAGGTATACACACATAGGTAATAGAAATACGTGTGTTTATGCCCAGATCCCAGACATAGATTCAGGCAGATACGGAAACTGAGACTGTGAGAAGTGTGTGGTTGGAGCAGAGCAGCCGTCCACATAATCCAATATTTGCCCCCTGTGGGGTACATACAACTTTAAGTGTCTGCCGATCGGGCTGGAAAAACTTCTGGGGCCAATGCTAGTTGGAGGAGACAGATTTTGAGCGAGATGAACCAATCTGTTGAGTCTGCTTAAGGTGCCCTATTCCATTTGAACCAGCCTTGCATCCAAGGGCATGAGGACTAGAAGCTCACTTTCACAATTGAGGCCGTGGCTGTAGCTCAGCGATCAACCCCATAGTTTGTAAGTGGAGAATCTTGGCCTATCCAGGTTGGGATGGGAAAACTCCTCCCTTGAAACCAGGTAAAGTTTGCTGGCAGCCAGTGCTGGCGATGCTGGCCTTAGGTGGACCAAAATACAGCCATGGAAGAAGGCAGTTTTGTGTCTTCTAAATCTGATGGCATCATCAAAAGATTGTCTTAGAGGCAGGGTGCAGGGGTGATGAACGGCTCCCAAGGGTATATGAAGAAGCAAAAGAGCAACTCATAACTAGTGCTAGAAATGTATTTGTCAAAAAGTTACATTTTAGGACTACACCTCCCACAATTCCCTAGTCCCTGATTATGGGAGTTGTAGTCCTGAGAAAGATTTTTTTTCCAAAGCTCTGTTTCTCATCCCATGCGAGAAATGGATGGAACTATGGAACTGACTACCATGGGGAATAGATATGTATTTCATTAAAAAGTTTATTTTCTTTCCAAGTTCTGTCTCTGACCCCATGCCCAGAACGCCCAGGAATATGGAACAGGTGGAAAGTGGAAACGCTGGACATGTTTCTAAACTCTCTAGACAAGCATGCCCTAGATACCAGATCGATGGCAAGGCTGGCTGAGAAATTCAGCCGGTGGGGCAGTCCATAGAAGAGAATCTCCAAAGGTCTAGTCATGGTTAGCTTGGGTACGGCAAGCTTCTGATCATCTCCAAGCAAGGACTGTCCGTGAACAAGAGGTGACATTGGCATAACTCAAATCGGACGCTCATCAACAGTGCTCATCGTCTTCTGGACTGGGAGGAGAGAGAGAGAGAGTGTGTGGTCATCTTGGAGAGAAATGTCCTGGCGTGCGTATCGAAGTTTTTGCTCCAATTGTGGCGACGTGATGGCGGTCTCAAGTAAAAAAATAAATAAATTTAAAATTAAACAAATAAATAAGGTTTTTTTTTTAAAAAAAAAGATAAGACCTATATCGAGGGAATAACTTAATTAAGCAGTCTTGATCAAAGGACAGCATGAATTCAATAGCCCAGTTTCAAGAGCTAAATGAGGACATTTAAACCAACTGCACTTGAGTGCGTTATCAATTTTCCTAGCTTTGAAGTGGAATTAAGCAAGGGGACAGGAAATCATCCCTCTCCTCCCTCCCTTTGGTCAATTGGCTGCTTGATGGCTATTTTTCTGTCTTCAAGGAGATCACCAGAGTTCAAGGTAGCCAGTGGAGCATGGCAATGCTCACCCAGAGAAGTCCACCTAAACCATCAACCACTGGGAAGTGCCTGGAGACCAGGTGGTGCACTGCCAGAAGATGAACTTTCTCTGTAGCTTGGAAAGATCCTTTCCCCTCCCAGATGTTTTCCCCAGAATTCCCCATCTGATGTGTCCATGCTGGCTAGGGGTTTTCAGAATTGTAGTCCCCCCCCAAAAAAGAGGAGAACTTCCTACCCTTTGTAGTTAGAAGTGGAAAGCTGCTGAATGTGGAGGTCCCACCATAGATGACAAGAGGGTGGACCACCTTGATCTCATCAGGATGGAGACTCTGAAGGGAGTCTGCTGACCTGTAGGGGCGACCCTACCATTAGACCGAGTGAGACAGCTACTTCAGACAGAAGCTTTAGGATTTCCATGGAAAGTCAGTGTATTCCTCGTTATTTACTTGCTTATGGTTGCATTTTTAGCGCCAAGGCTGGGAGAGAAATGTTTATGGGATCGCCCGCCTTATATACCAAAATAGCCCGACGGGACCAGCTTCTTAATGACCAGCCTTTCATGGACTGTGTGGGACGGGCGCTTTCCTCTTCTGGCTTTAATCCACACGCATATTAAAACTGTTTAGTCTCATTGCTGGGTCCGGTGAATTTTCTGCAGCCGGTCTGGACTGTGCTGCCTTTCATAGTTCTGCTTGCCTCGTCCTTCACGTGACTTGGGTTCCCATCCGCTGCCCCTCGAAACAGTGCCCTGTTTTAGCCCTGCCGTTTCCTTCCACCAACCCTGATTGGCAAGAAAGGCAATCAAGAAATTAAGCTGACAACGATAACAAACAGGTCTGCCCAAAGGTGGAGTTCCACCGCTCTCTGTTTTTCCTCCCGTTTCAAAGTTAAGATGGATGGGCAACGTCTTGGCATTCATT